GAAATACCTACCACAGCTTCATAAATCCCAAAGTGTCGGTTTATTATCTGTTTTAAAATGCTTGTTTTTTCTGAGCAACAATTCAAAACCTGAAGATATTTTCCTTTTGCTGTCACATATAACTATCAAATGTGAGAACCAGCAAATTGTTTGGCAATTCTGCAATAATTCATTATATACAATTCCTCAATACTAAAAAACAAAACAAACACTTTTCTGATCAGTTGATCAAAAAGAAATATAGGTGTCACCTTTTACATCTTCTTTTTAAGTCATATTTCCATCCCTCTAGATAGATCTCACTTGCAAAGTTCATAAAAGAGGCTCCTGGATTTAAAAAGACATTTTGTTTGAGCGATGGTGGATTTAATTTTCCCCCCAAAAAAAGGCAGGACGCTACAGAAGCACGCAAGTGTGCCGACTGTTGCTTTGACTGTTGACAGATGCAATTTCAGGGATCAAATCTGTGAAGTTTAAATTACAGGTTGTCCTTCCAGAAAACCACCCACTGGTACTGGTGTGTGTGTGTGTGTGTGTTTGTTCTGCTACTGTAGCGTTTAAAGCCATTAGAGCCCACATGAAAGAGAGAGATCCGTTTCAGGTTGCACCAGGACCAGGCTCAACCTAACCTCTGCTGGGCACGGGTGGCAGGGATCCTTCAGCAGCAGGTAATTACCGCTGCAACTCAGGATAACACTCTCGCTTACTCTCAGCCAGGTGCTTGAGCCAACGCTGTAAAAGCAAAAGGTATCAGCTACCGCCCTGCAGTTAGTCTGTTTATTTCAGGTCAAGAACCACATGGTGAGTGAAACTACTTGTTCTAGACAGTCTTAAAGCAGTGTTTCTTTTGAAATTATTTAAAACAGCAGCACAGTCCAAGAGCCTGGGAGGGGGAATCCCACCCAGAACAAGGTCTTGTTAGACTGAAATGTTATTGCTTGGCTGTAATATTCCTTGTTTTGAAAACTTTGGCAAAATTTTTATTTGCTTAGTTTGCTCTTATTTAACCACACTGGTTAAATAAGGCCTTAAATGGCCTCCCTCATGTCCCCAAACAAGGAGCAGGAGCCAGAAATTAAAAAGCCTAATGGCCCAGTAACAATCATCTCCACTTGGATTCATTTAGTACACGCGGTGCCAGAACCCGGAGCTGGGACATCCAAAAATTCCTAGATGAAACCTTCTGGTATCAACACGTCCCCATTGTGCCGTTTGTTTGCGCACGGCTGTGATAATGCTGAATGCGGAGTCAAACACAACCATCTGCAACTGGGAGCGCAACCTGAAATGCAAACAATTAGACATCAGCCACTCGCCCACAAAACGTGCGCATGCCTTCACACGCCACGAAGGAGCAGATACTGCAGAAGGTGAGTGTGAGGACGGTGGGGGAGAAAGGGGAGGGCGGAGAGCAGGGGTGGGGCTTCATTAATCCAAGACATATTTTTGAATGCTGTGCATGTGTGAGGCGACATGTGATGTGAACGCAAAGGCGCACAAATCACAAACACATGGGTTTTTCTATTGCACAGCACAGTATATACCCAAATACAAACAACTATGGGATTACATGAGGGTGCGTTACGCGCTACACTACTGGCTGCACACACACACACACACACACACACACACACACATTTCTTATGTGGGTGATGTGATGAGGTCTTTTCCCTCATGGTATTACTCCAGCAGCAGCACTCCAGTCCCACAGCGTGCTAGTGTGAGGCCACATCAAGCAGGGGGAGGTAGTCGCTGTGTCACTGTGAGGGCCTGGGCCTTACTGAACATATATATAGATGGAATCAGCACAGGGGTGAGAGATAGACCCCAGATCCACAGCCACGTGGCTTCACACCACATCCACAGCAGTCAGCACTTTCTTCAAGAGCGCTGGGACCGAGCCTCCAAACAGAAGACACATTCAGTCAAGAGGGTGAAAGTCTCCTGGTTCATGCTCAAGTTAAAAGCACAATGAACGTCATTTCTAGTGCAAAAAACAACTGTTATCCTGAGTCATCTGTCAGATTGCTGGCTATGCACTGGCTTTCATAGCTAACTGGCATCACAAAAGCAGTAGTAGCTTTTCCAGTTCCACCACAGTACATGTTCCTAGTAAACAACTAATTACATGGGCAGATCCTGACAATGAATAAATATGAAGGAAAACTGATTTCACAAGATGGGGATGGAACAAATTGTGCTCCTTAGTGGAAACTGCATGAGAAATCTTACTTCACATCTCCAGCACTGCACTACTTTAGTGCCCCTGTATGTAGTGTAATGGTAATAATAATAATAATAATAATAATAATGAGGCCAAATGAGGACAATGTCTTATATGTCCAGTTGGCACAAGACCCAGTGAAGAGAGAGTCTGGAATATAATCCCTGTTAGAAAATTGAATTACCAGTTTTACCTGTGGCCAGAGCAAGGTGTGGCTTCTGGTCTTTATGCTAAGCAAAGCTAACAGTCTGCTGGATCCTCCATATGGTGGAGTGGTAACGAACCTCTCAGCTCTCAGCATTAGAGCCCACAAGTGGATTTCTCAAAATGTCAAACCATTACTTTAAAGGCAGAGATGGATTAACGGGCCCACCGGGCAAAGCCCCAGCTGTGAACCTGTCTTGTGTGCATTCCTCACTTCCTTCCTCATTAAACATTTGCACAGCTGATTAATTTGGAAGAATTTGTTCACGTCATAAACCTTCAATCTGTGCAACAGTGTGAAACAGTCAGTGGCTCCACAGGGTAGGAGCTAAAGCTAGAGCTTCAACTTGAAGTGGTGTCAACACCAGGGTGCACAGCACCTAGTGGAAAAACACCTGAGCCTAAACATCCTCTCCGCCTGACAAAACTAACATGTCCATCCTTTTAATGAAGACAAATGAAGTGTTTAATTGTGCGAGACCGTTGCCCTTTCCACCTGGCGCAACATGCCAAACACAGCTGCCAAATCCGTTTGCAGCTGAGTGACGGGCCCCTCCCTCTGTGAGCTGCTGCCTCGGCCACTGAGGGCTCCCCCTGCTGCCACTCTGAATGGCCCTTGGCCCCACTCGCTCAAACCTTATTACTCTGAACCTTGACAACCTGCCAAAAGGCAGAAACATCTCGCCACTTGTTCACCTTGAATGTGTTTAAAAAGGGGGGAAATGGCCCTGACTGTTGCTGCTGAGGTGCAACTGAACAAGAAAAACCATTCAGGCCCGGACTGGTTGGCCCGTGATGAAGAGAGAGAGGACGAGGCATCCAACAGAAAGATGAGAAGGTCAGAAAACCAAACAAAGGAAGAGAGTCCATGGAACGACAGGCAAAGTGAACACTGCAGACTGGGGCGCTAAGGACGGGCTTTACCAACACTTAACTATCAGAACCCATAATATCCTGGACAGCAACTGGTTTCCAGAGCCACAAAGCCAACTATCAGTATCTACTGCTGTAGTCTGAACCAAACAGCAGGAAGGCAACGGTAACAGTTAGCTGGTGAACACCAAGCCCCCAGGATGTGAAGCAAACCTGGGATGGTGGCCAAACTGTGTTACTGCAGCTTCTGTGTTCATCTTTAAATTGCACGTCAGGAGATTAAACAAACACGCTGGAAAACTTCATTCATGTTCCCAGCAGTGAGTGGGAAGAGTCATGGCTGGATATACCAGAGGCTTTTCTGTTTATCGTCACCGTGTTGCTCATTCAGTCACGTTGCAGAGAAAAGCCGTCCTCGCTCAGCAGCCGGCGCTTCAGCCATCAGACCCCACGTACACTTTGATTCAGGATCTTCTCAACCTAATAAACTTCCTTAATATTTGTTTATGGAGGTTGACGTGGTTGAAGCACTACAGTGCATGCTTGCCATCACATAATAAATACGGGTTAATTTAGAAAGGCATGTTAGGCTTTAGCTGTTTAAGACAGCTCTATTCCATCAAAGCAGTTCGTGCTCTGGCTGCCAGGAAAAACACTTTCCTTCTGAGCGAACAATTCATCTGTGGCCCTCTTGGGGGACAGGGTAAAGGGTGCCGGGGAGGTCAGACTTATTGCCACCAACAAACCCTGGCACATACTCATGAAAGTTAAACAAGAGAAAGTGAATCCAAGTCGGAGCCCGGGATCCCCCTCCTGGGCTGCTTGCTAATTAAGCTGCGTTTGTCTTGGCTTTGAATCAGGTTTGATCCTGAGCCAACATCCAACGCGGTGCTGAAAGGAATCATAAGTGTGGCTCCTGGGAGTCTGTAAGCTCCTCATAGGAAGACGCATCAGGATTGAGGAACAATAAAATAATTTTGGGATTTGGGATGCACCTTGAGTGGTTCTCTCCTAAAACTGAAAATGTCCTCTGTCTGCATCAGATTTGTACATTTATCCTGCACAGATGAATGTTCACATCAGCCCTCACAATCCAGCTTTAAAGTGTGATGGCAAGTTCAAGCAGCTGCGTCGTAAACCCGAGTACAGTCAGGTCACTTTCATAATATACTCACAGCAAAAGTGCAACGTTAAACTTCACCTCTGATCCTGACTCCTGTGAAACCTCACCTGGACTGATCCCTTCGCAGAGCGAGCTCACCCCTCCCGCTCGGCTGGGTTAAACATCTGGGTGAGAGAGGACTGGTGTGTCATCAAAGGTGACAACAGAGCGGGCGTAACGTAATGCAACAAAGCCAGCCCACCCGACGTGTGCATCTGACTGCGGGTATTGTGTGTGTTTGCCTGTTTCACATCAAACTAGGTCAGCCTGCAATCAGATGACACCTCCACTCCCATTGGCCCACGATCATCACTGGCTTGTTTTCATTACAGAGGTGTGAGATGGCTGATTGTTCACTCCTCTGGTGTGGAGTGTTGTGTAAACACACTGCAGTAGATGATTCATTTTTATCTGTCATTTCAATTTACTTTTATGTAAGTTAGACAAGAAAGAACTGTTGATCGTTGAAATTAAAAATCAGACTAGGTGGATTCACTGCTGTGCAAACAGAGCAGTGATTTCTGGCCAGGCTCTTACCGCGTCGTCTGGCTTTTGGCTGCTGTCGTGGAGCGGCTCATCGGGGAGGTGGTCCCGTCGAATCAGAGTGAACTCTCTGATGAACACCGCTTCTCCATCGCTGGCCCACACAGCAACCTGAAAACCAGAATCAGTGCCAGGTTGGTCAGTACACATACTGCATCTGAAACAGGTACAGTAATGAAAGTTCTGCAACAAGAAAAGCTCACAGCACTCTTGGGAAAAAAAAAAAACCATCAAGGCAGACGTGTGATGCAGCGAGAGGAGGCTACGCTTTGTGCAGCGAAGTTTAGGCCAAGGATTATCAGAAATACAAGGTATTTGACTCCTTGTAGTTTTCATGACCACGAGCATAGAGCCGTGCTTGAACTCATGTTGTCATACAAACAGAAAAATGTATGTGAACCATCAGATTTGAATCTTTTTTGACTTTAGACAAGTGATTGTGCCTTTAAAGAGACACATAAAACGACAGAGCTGGACACACAGCTCAGCAGTAGCTCCACTTAAGATTGTTTAGCGTTATTTCAGGATTTTACAACTTTCACATTTTACCAACACTTCCCATAAATCTAGGATTTCATGGGACTCAAGTGTGAAACTGTGCAACTGCATAATAAGAAACACACAAAACAAAGCCATGTTCTACTGGATCCTTCTGTATGGGGTAAAGCAAAAGGAACCGGGCACACAGCGATGCAACAGGCTTTCTGTTATTTATACCACAGTGCGTCTATCAGCACTCTCCTCTGGGGCAGCGGTGATGGTGATTAGTAGGTTCTAGTAAAACCATTTCTATTTGCAGTCATTTACAGAGGACAGAGAGTTTTTGGTTTGTGCTCTCAACTGCACATGATGAGAGGAATCATCGGGCTCTGGAGGAACACAGCACAGAGATCCGATATCAGAAGACACAGTAACCCGCCACTGCAGGGCGAGGGGCATTGTGGATAGGGCCCATTAGCAGCATAGCAGGGCCCACATTCTCAAGGACGTATAAATCCACTGAGTGGGGGCCCTCAGCTGCTCTCTGTGGGTCATAAACACCCTGTAACTGGCTGCCTCTCTGGCCTGCGCCAAGGCAGAGCGAAGCCGAGCAGGGGACGTGGGTTGTTGGGGGCTGCAGGTTTTTAGCTGTGTAGGCTAAAAAAAAAAAAAAAAAGACTGCTGAGCAACTGCAACAAAACTTGCATCAACTTTCTGTGGGAACGAACCTCAGAGTGGATTTTTAAATGAGACAAATCAAATCTGGTCTAAAGCTCTACAGCCAGCACAGCTTAGCCACAGTTATAACAGCACATAACTCAGGGCAGAAGCCTCCTGCAAAGGCCATTGTACTGGGTAGGGATCAGCAGATGTGGCAGCTGCTGGGCCAAACACTTCACTTAATCTGCTTCTTTAAAAATGAATTACAGATAAGATTTTTACGCTTTTATTTATAATTAGCCAGGGTGGCTGTGTAGGTCAGGAATGAGGTGAATGAACGTAAAAACCTATACGTGTGAGAAAGTGGTGGAATACACAGCTGGACATTTAATAGAGCACACATTTCTCAGATTGTCTCAACAGTTTAAAGCCCATCTGAACTACACACCCCAGAGACTTGAATGTATCAGCAGGGGAAACCAAATCGCTGATATGAGAACTTATCACAATACAATATGGTGAAAGGACTCCACCGAGGCTAAAAGTTAAAATACTGCAGAACCACAAGCCGGGGGTAAAGCAAACATCGTCACGCATACGATCATTAAGAGACGTTCTGCTGGTGTGTCAGCTAAGGTGGACTGGAAACCACTTGTGTGACCAGATGTCCTTGATCAGGGCCAAACGGAGGCCGAGCCAAGATTGAACACGACAATTATGTTTTTCTCAGAAGATTGTCACCTTCGTCCTCAGAAATTATATTCTCACAGACTTGCAGCCGCAAACCTGACATTTCTTTCTTTGTTTGCATCCATTCTTCTTAAAGACGTGGAATATGCTGGGACCAGACTGAACTACAGGCTAATGGTGCATGACAGCTAAGCTCTGCCTCACTGGGGTCTTGAGAAAGGAGAATCTATCAAACTTATTTCTCTAGGAAAACACACTGGCTGCTCAGGGCTGGCGTCTATTCTGCATAACCCCACTGGATTAAACCATTAGGACCTGGCAGAGGAATCAATATTTCCAAAGAGGCTCCAAGTACTGGGTTTTGGTATCATGCAGGGAAAGATGCTGAGAATCTCCTGCATGGGCAAACAAATCAACTTTGAGTGATACTTTATTTTACAGGTCTGCACGTTTCAGTTTATGTCCATATAATTTGGTACTATTTCTAGGTCAGATTAAGGAGGGATCACTTGGTTCACTTCAGTTCATTCTAAATACTAAGCTAGAGCAAACCTGAGGCAGTTACTTGGGGGGCAGAGGGACGGCTACGCATCCTTTTCTCCAAAACAACACGAGTCACGCTCAGATCCAACCTGAGCGGGTGTGCATGTCAATGCGACAAAGGGCAAAGCCGGTGATTCGTTAACCTCGGTGAAGAGATCGATTTCAAAAGGCAAGTCTGAACCAGGGAAGAGGAGAGGAAGGAAAGTCAAGGGCAAGTCGGGGCTTCAAACGCACACAAACAACAGGAATAACATCCAACCTGATATTATAATTGAGCTGTTCTACAGTGTGGTGGCAGCTTCCACTGTTTGGATGGAAACTGTGAAAAGCAAGTGACTTACCAAGCTGCACTAGGCCAAACCTAGACTTGTGCCTTTGATTATTAAGGTTTCATCCAATGTGTAGATAAGGACACCCCGATCTCAAGCCCAGCTCCTGTCTGAACGAAACCTAAGAGGGAAAGATATTTTTGCTAATCCACTTTCAAGGGGATTTATGAGTTTTCACTTAACACATTCTGATGGAGGAAGCAGTGCCGCCCCCCCCCTCCACTGCTCTTTCATAAGCCAAGAAGGAAGATGCCTTCTCTCTGTCATATCTGTCCCAGGCCCCCACACGTTGATCTGTTACTGTGAACTTAGTTTAATACTTGCTCATTACAGGCCCAAGCCCAGTGCTACCTCAGGATTTCAGGACTGATGAAGGCCATGACAGAGTCTTGGCTCCCCCCAGGCAACAAGACACCCTTCAGAGTAGAGCAGGAGAAAAACACTCCTGGTTACAGTTTTCACTTTTTACACAGGATACCTGCAAACAGCTGGTGACAAAGCTCTGTGGGAAACTAAATCAAGCTGAAGTACTTTCAGCACATTCTGATTCCTGATGGATTGTTTCGTTATCTTAACATTATTCCTCAGACAACCTTTGAAAATGGACCTCGTCTCTGCCAGATTCCTCCCAGGCTGATTTACTGAGCTCTGTCCTGCGAGCATGAGGAGAAGTGAGGCGCGGAGCTTAACTCGTCTTCATTGCCGCCCTCTTCAACTCCCACCACTTATCATCTTCAACAGCACAAGGAATGAAAAGCCTCAGGGGACAGAAGAGAAACCTACCTGTAATAGATGGAAGGTTTCCCTGGCTCCGTCTGTGGCGTTTACGCTCTGTTCCCCCCATGTTTTAATTTCTCTGAAGATGCGTGGCATCTCCCTAATGATGCATGAGCACGTCTCTGACACGGCCTTTCAGTCTCATGACATAGCACAGTGCCTGTTTAAAAAGTATTTCTTGTCGAAACAATACACTGGTGAAGAACATAATGCAGTGAAGTTAAACTGGATGGAAGAAAGGTGTAGAAGATTTTAAAAATCCTTTTATTATAGGTGTATAGAACACAGATAAAGTGCATGCTCAAATTAACAGCTAACATTTGGCACATTTATGCCAGCACCTGTTTAACCACACCTGCTCTTCACAAGGAGGGAGATGTAGATGTGGTGAAACACAAACATATCAAAGTGTGAGGAAAAGGAGCTCCAAAGACCGGTGGCCTCCGGACGTGGCTTTTATGAGGAGCAGGCTGCACTTCAGGAGACTGATACTGGACTAAAGAAGTCATCAGACTAGTCCTGGGCATGGACCTGGCACCTGACTGTCAGAGGTGAGAACTACAGCCTCACATCGTTTCCTGTTTTTCATAATTTGAAGAGAGAAAACTTAAGGTTTCTTATTATGCACATTGCTTAATGGTCAAATAATTCTGTTGAAAAAGTTTGTAATTTAACCTTTTAATGTGTCTGACTGCTGTTTTAACATCAGTGTGTTGGCTCCTCATTTACACTTAGGTTAGAAAAAGTCACATGCACGGCAAAATGAACAGAACAAGTGCTGCATCACACAGCTGGGCCTCAGCCTGCGATCCCCTGGAACGTCACTCGGCATAATGCAGAAACAGGCAGAACAATCGGGTGCATCAGGTCTGAGTGTTTATGCTCTCCTGGTTTTACCGTCCTGCACGTGCACTGCTCTGCCCAGCAGGACGTCACCGCCTCACGGACTAAACTGTTACAGTCTGTCATCACAGCCGCCAGCGTGACTCGGTCCTGCTCAGCAAACAGCAACGGAAATGGAAAGACATTCACAACATGAAGTGCACGTTTAAAAACGTTTGTATTCGTGTTTAATGAGTATATTTTTTGCAGTCACGAGCCACATCATCGATGATAACATGGCACGAGTACGAGTTATTTTTGGCGTCTTACAGTCCGCTAACAGTGTCTCATGTTTTTTTTCCTTTGTATGAGGCAACAGGAAAAGTCATGAAGAAGTCACCATCAATCATTTTATACCATGTTTGTCATTGGTCATTTTTCTCCAACTGCCCGCTGGCGTGTGCGAGAATCCATTTTAACCACAAAATATCAGCCTGCAAAACAAACAGAGACCAAATACTGCGATTCTCACACGGGATGTTCTCTTACAATAAATCACAGCTCTTCACCCCCGAGCTGACCGCAGGCTGACTGCAACGTGACCGGTCACAGAGTGCAACATTAACAAGTAGCAGATTTCAAGGTTAGTCCACCTGTGGCCCACGTGTGAGGGCACGGGTTCTCATGGAGGAGTCTCACTGCTTAAGCCTTCGAATCCCACTAACATAATGCAGAAACAGTCGCACCACTAATCTGTGCAGCAGACGTCGTGTGGTTTCCCAGCTCAGGTAACAACCGCTATTACATTTA